CCCAACCCCCCGTCGGTGACGAGACTGCCGCGTTTGAAATGGTTTGAATTTCTCTCAGCACCGCGCGAGGCAACTAAGCCCCCGTGTTGTCTCACGTTTGGTTAGGAAAAAAATAAATAATGTAAACAAAATAAGGCGCATGCCAGTGGGATCCCAATCGGGGAGGGCGAGGGGAGGGGGGTGCCGACCGCGAACTTCCAACAGCAATCATCCGTCACGAGCGCTAAAAAAAAAAACGGGAACGGGGAAGGAGAAAAACGAGCGAGCACCAATTCTGCGCACAAGGAAGGTAGTACCAACGCAATAATTGTCCAGTCCGAAAAAAAAAATCTAAAACTTACAAGCAGAGTTTGGTTTAGCACAAGGACACAAAAGACAATCAGAGACGTGAGAGCGTTGTTTTTGATGAATAAACTTACCCCTTTGTACCATCTCGTCCAGTTGTTGTATATTACCATGCAGGAGCACAGTTAACCACGACAGGGTTACTAACCAGCAAAATAGAAAAACTGCTGCTAAAATCAGGGACACATTACGTGTTCTACATGTAAATTTAGATGTTGAGTCCTGTGCCCTCAGTGCTGTGTGGTTAGTTCGCACTCGCCTGCAAGAAGAGGTCCAAAAAGTTATGTAGCATACTGCACTTGTGCGTTGCCGACAAAACTACATTTAAATTGATTTCAACTCAAGCAGCTACAATAAGCTTACCTTTTAAGTCGTTTCTTCTTTGGAGTAAGTACAAATTCGGGAACTTCAGATTCTGAATCACTACCACTTCCAGCAATGGAAAGGAGTTTAAAAGACTCTTTGTTATTATTCTCCATCATCATAGCAAATTAATTCACCAGCAGAATGAATGCAATTGAATATTGGAAGTGATGAAATTTTAGAATTTATAAACATTCCTACAGCTCATGTTAATATAGTAAATAATTGGTTGTCCGATGAGTTTTAAGCAAGTGTCATAAGCACAACATGTTGTTTAATTTACATAAACATTAGCAGAAAGGTTTTATCTGAGGTTAAGTACATAACCTCGTCAGAGAAGTAAGTATACGCGCGTAGTTACTTATCATACTCTTGCCGTATGACAACACCATTTTAACAAACCACTCGAATTAAAAAGTTAAAAGTATTTGTCATTACGTTCAAGTGACAAGTGCTCGACTACAACACGTCAAGTAGAGTCCACTTTCAAACTCACATCGTCGGGTCGGATGCACGGTAAAGTGCGTTCCAAACTTTGGTGCAAGTCCCATAGGTCATGGTGACAGAGTAACAGCATAAACATTCGCAAAATACGGTGTTCTCTATTTTTTATCAAACTTTATATTTATGTTCCAGAGTTGACAATTTTAGTCCAGTCAAGCTACCTACATTTATTGGGAAGGTGTTCGTTCAGTGTGGTCCAAAACTGGTCGTCTTTTCACTCAACTGAAAGTGAAGGGAGGTGGTCTAATAATTCCAACCAATCACAGCAAGCCAAATATCTTTTTCAATACAGCTCTTCAGTCCTTTAGTATTTGATAGAAATTTTGTCTCGCTGGGTCACCAATATGTCTGAAACATTTTAATGGATGTTTTGATGCGCATTTGTGTTGTAGTATTTATCAAAAGAAATATTCGTTCGATATTTCTTCGCGATCATTGGGGCAAAAGTGACTTTGTGCTCTTGTGAAAGTTTTGCAGCAGACAGCACCTCAGTCTCAAAATAAAAACATTCGCTGATATCCCACTTTCATATGAAAGTAGGTTATTGTCTATCTGCTATTTCGTTAAAATTAAAATCGTGTTCGTGGCTGCCTGAGGTTTTGGTAAGTTAACCATTATCTTATTGAGGTTTGGAATGGAACCCCACTCTCTCCTCAACTTTTTTAGGCTTAGATGAGTACACTGATAACAGTCACATCTACTTTCTGATGCAAGTGTTATATTTTGTGAGCTACTTCATTTAATTCTACATGAAGTATTACAGCTGCCTCATCAGGCAACCACGATCTAAGCCATTAATTTTTACACCCCACTCTTGTTTCATTTTTGTTTTTGACTTTGGTACGATATGTCATCTAATTTTGTTTTGATTGTCCCACCTCCTTATCTGTCTATTTCACTTTCTCTTCAGAATTTATGCTAATTTTGTTCGTTCTGCTGTGATGATTGTTGAAATATTACCACTCGGCTCATCAGTCTGTATTTCCTTTTTATCTGCAGCGCTAGGGTGATGAGCTCACTAAACATGCCAGTCACGCTGATCGTCAAAGCTCCCAACCAGCAGATTGAGGACCAAACCATCCAGTGTGAACTTAGCTGGACTATCAAACGCCTCAAAGGCTATCTCTCTGAGGTGTACCCAAGTAAACCAGTAAGTTGCTCTGTCATGGAAGTATTGTCTGTCAATGTTTTTTTCATTTTCTTATTCAATTTTTTAAACAATTATAACATTTTTACAGAGCACAGATGAGCAGAAACTGATTTACTCTGGTCATTTACTCAATGACTCATGCACACTTCAAGAGGTGCTTAGAACATATGAAGAAGGTCAAGACCAACATACTGTACATCTAGTATGTGCCAGAAACTCAATGGTCCCTCCAAAAAAAACAGGTTTGTTTATATTTATGAAGTATGTAAGACAATATGCTTTTGCTGTAGAGATTTTATGTAGTTCTATTGGTCCGTTTTTTTGAATTTCTTAGAACCCACGGGATCATCATCCGAAAGCAATCTACGAAGACGGAATGTCCCAGGGCCAAGCACCAGCAGTGGCCGTGGCAGTGTGAGCCCCACTTCAAGCTCAAACAGTAGCAATGGTGCTGCTGGAGCCAGTAGTTCAGCTAGTAGTACTAGCACAAGTGCTACTGCAGCTGCTGCAACAACACCCCTGCCCGGTGCAGCTCCTACTCAGGCGGTCCCTCCACAGGCAATGCCCCCATTTTACCCTGCACCCCAAATACCCGCATTCGCTCAATTTCCCCAAATTCCACCATATGCTGCCCCTCCTCAGGTGATTCCATGGACTCAGGCTCAGTATGCAGCCTGGATGCACCAGGCATACGCTCAGTATATGGCACAATATATGCACATGTAAGTTTCTACAGATTTCACAATTAATTTTGTTTATCTTTTTCAAATTTTGTTAAATGTAAGCTGATGTCCTCTGCCCATATTTGCAGGATGTCACAAGGATCTGGAAACCCATTCCAATGGCAAGTGCCACCCAATGTGTCTGTACGAGGACCTCAACCTAATTTTGATCAGCCTGGTGCTGCCCAAGGCCAAGCTGGTAAAGCATTTTTATTGAATTGATGTAGATATGCAAGTATCTTTGTATTCATAAAGTTATATTTGACTAATTGTTAATTATTGTCTCCAGGTGTTGCAGAGCGTCCAGCTGGTGCTGAGGAGGGTGATGAGGAAGAGAATGCTGGCAGAGACTGGTTAGACTTGTTCTACATGACTAGCCGTGCAGCAGCATTTTTTGCTTTTGTTTATTTTTACACCACTCCTATGCGTTTTCTGGTTGTTTTTTGCCTTGGTCTTCTTATGTACCTGTAAGTTGTGAAATCCTGCTGTAGTCAGTTTGGCCTTCAACACTGAAAAAGTTTTACTAAATTGTTTTTGTCTTGGTATTGTGACAGGTACAACATTGGTTTCTTCAGACCTCTTGATGATTTTGTTCAAGTAGCAGAGAACAACAACGACCCAGCGAGAGTTGATGCTGCTGCCGCCGCAATCAATGGAAATAACGACAACAATAACAATCATCAACCTGCAGGTCAGCCCTTCTCCTTCAAGCTCTACTTAAATTTTTGATACTTTACAACTGATTTTAAGATTGCTTCGTCTGTTTTCTGTGTCAACAGATGGTGCTGGTGGAAATGAGGAAGTCCCTCAAAATAATCCAGATGGAGCTGTACCCACTGTGCCTCCTGCAGCTCCCCCTGTGCCAGATAGACCTTCTCTCTTGGCCTTAACATGGACCTTTTTTACTAGCTTCTTTGCTTCCCTCATTCCAGAGCAGCCTGGAGTCATTTAGACAAGGTCAGGATCAACTCTGGGATTCCCCCAACACATCTGTGATCATTGTTTTGGAGAAGCACTGGTTTATACAAGTTGCTTTTTCTGAGCACCTAAATGTTACCACTCCTGCATGCTGGCATGTTGGTGCAACAAGCATCATCATTTCTAACCAGTATCATTTGATTTATGAAATAGATTTTTTTTTCTGGAAGTTTAGTTTATTGAGTCTATTATGATCTGGAATTGCAAGTTGATGTAAACCTGAATTTTGAATGCACCATACTATTACCGTAAATTTCTGCATCCCTAAAATAATAATTTTGATGGCTTAACAGATCATGAAAACAGGTGTCTACTTTCTAGTACTGTTCTTGTCAGAATGGAATATAGATAGTATATTTATAGTGGATGAACAATTTTGGTTGAAAGAAATTGAAGGATATTGTTTGAACATTCCTTACTATTTCTCACACATTTCCAGTTGTGGGTCACACCTGATTGATTTTATTTTGATTTTCAGCGCCAATGTTTTCTTTGTTTGGTTTATGCCTTTGAGATTTAACTGTTAATGCATACTGTGGGGGCTCTTTTCTTTTTGATGTTTGGGCAAACATCTAACAAACATTATGAAACCAAAAATATTCATATCATGGAGAATATTTATTATTATTTATATGGTTGTTTCTTTTCTTACTTTCTTTCCACCTATAATGATTTTTGTTTTTCTTTCTTTTCATCTTCTCTCTCACTGCATAGTCTGAACTCTTCAGTTTATTTGGCTAATTTATTCCAAAGAAAGACTGGTCAACATGGTCCCTTAGTTTCCTCACAGGCAATGTACATTACAACTACTGAAAGTAATGTTACTTTCCGTGCCAAAAAGAAATGCAGTATGTTGAAATGGAAGAGGCATGCTATTTTTATGAATCTGTCACCTGGAAACCTTCCCACCTCTTGCTTAACTGTTACACATTGATGATCAGGAGCGGATTCAAGTGGTTCCTAAAAGGGCGATGCCTCGCTTTTTGGCTGCTTCCTGGCTGAAAGTTTTGCATTTTGTATACAGATCAGGCGATGACAACGCCGGGTCCCTCTTGAAGTCCGTGCATTTTGTTGACTTTTCATAAATTTATAGTTCTTTGCAACAACCCCTTTGTAGTGAGGTGAATTTTAGATGTTCATTTTATTGTGCACTTCAATGACTGAAAATGACCATGGGCTTTTTTTCATAAAGAAAAAACAAATGAGGATTTGTTCGGGTTTTTGTTTTGTCTGTCATTTAGCATCATATCTGAGGGACCATAATGTAATTTTAGATTTCTCGTTTGTTTTCCCCTTTTTAGGTGATAGTTACTCTTATAACTAACGCATAACAAAAGTTATGGCTTGCTGTCTCACTGTATAACTTCTGTATGAATGTGTTTAATAGTTTCTTCTACATTGTGTCAAGGAAACCATAAAGACCAACTCAGTCACAATAATTTCTAGATCATTGGACATCATGCTAAAATATCTTATTTTATTAATTTCAATTTTTTTTTTGAACCTAGGGAAGCTCTCAGTTCACCTATGAAGTAGACTAGGCAAGATTTTTTTGCTGTACTATCATGGAGCCTTATCAGCTTTGTGTAGTCTTTTCTACACAAGTGGATGATTCACTTGCGTTCGTTGTAGCTGTTTTGGGATTTTAAAATTTTCTTTGGTCAGCAAATAATTTTTGTTTGGAAGTACATACATCATTGTTTTGTAGACATCTTCTACGTCAGAAGATTAGACATTCAAGGACTATTTACCTACTTATGTTAAAATTTAAGATAGGCTCTTAATTTGTGACAGTAGTAGCTAGTCCAACTTTAGTAAATTGACTTGTATGTGATTTTCAAAGCTTTTGATGGTACTGCTCATGGCAACGGTGATAAGAAAAGTTAGATTTAAAGTATATCATTTTTCTTCCAAGAGAAAGTTGATATCTAAAATAATGATAAATTATTATTCTTTGTTATTAATAAAAGATCTGTGATAATCTTGAGAATCATTGGAAACAGTGAGAATTTAGGATGAGTGTTTGTGAAGCTGAATGAGTGCAATAGTAAGAGAAAAAAAATACTTCTCTCTTTGTCTGTATGTTTCAGTGCTTGTTTTCTTGCCCCATGCAAGTCATTTCCTTGTTAGAGGACTGTAATTAAAATACATCAGGGCCTGAGGGAAAATGGGCACATACAATTTCCTTTTAGCCAAATGGAAAAAGAAATTCAACCCTCAAAGGGTAAAGACAGTTTTATAGAGAAATTGTGAGGGTCTGCTTTTTAAAATGAGTAAGAAAATTTGTATACTGTTATGATTTAGACAACTTTGTTTGTTATCATTCATATAGGCTTACCATGCTTCAATTGCTACTTTGTGTAATTGTTTGAATACTGGGGTAGGTCCTGGAGGGTCCCCTGTCTAGAGGGTCCCCCCTGAATTTTTTACTGTTTTTTATAGTTCTTATTAAAAAAATAGTTTTTAACATGAAAATATTAATAAAATATTAAAATATTGTTTACAACTAGTTTTAAAGGTCAGAGTGGCCTAGGAATTTTTCATATTGGTTCCTAATGTGCTATAGGGCTCTTGCTCTTAGGAGAAGTGTTACTTTGCTAGTTGCGATCTGTATAGTTTACATCAGGCTATTAGAATTATATGTTACTGTCTTCTATTCAGTAGAGGGTTTTCTGAAGTGTGGAAATGTCGTCGACTTTCAAGTGGGTAAGAGATCAAAATGTCAAACAAAAATGTTAATGCGTTCCCTTTGGATACAGCAAGCGAAGTGTCCAGATGTTCATTGCAAGGCGAATCACTTTTAGTACAAACAACTACTGCCCCGCACTTGATGAACCCAAAAGAAGCGCAGTAGCATTTTTGTCAAACTTTTGGATGTGTTAAGCACTTGTAAGTTTGCG